AGTATTCAGACCCCCTTAAATTTTTCACTCTTTGTTATATTGCAGCCATTTGCTAAAATCATTTAAGGTAATTTTTTTTCCTCATTAAGTCTGACATACGTATGTGTGTGTATGTATGTAGCCTATGTGTGTGTGTGTGTGTGTGTGTGTGTGCAGTTTTTTTTTTTCTTTGGTGATTTTTATTTTATTTACCTCAAATTTATGTATTTTATTATGAAAAATAAGCATATTTCTTTACATTATTTCACACACAAAAAAAAATACATCATTGTGATCCTATTTTATTGTTAACATCAAAATACTATAGGTTATTATTCACTGAGTCATTGAGTGTCTCTGATGCCCCCTTGTGGAAAAAATGATGTTAACGTGCATTTTATGGTTACTGCCACTAGAGAATGTAGGGGGAGGCTGCATGAACACAAGCCACCGGCCAAGATCATTATCTGTTCTGTGTAAGATTTTACATGGTTGCTCATAAGAATATAGTCATTATTAAACTTTGTGGTTTTGAAGGATTGTTCTTTTATGCCGGTTTTACTGAGGGTGATTTTACCCCAATGTCATAAGGCAAAGATAATGCAAATGTGAAATGGATTGTCATAACACTTTTATATGCATCCCTATAGGTACAGAAGCCACTCTTAAGAGATTCTCCTTCTAGTCTCCCTGTATAGTAATCAATGCCTGGTTTTGGAGATGACCAGCACAGACATCTTTAGGTCCACAGCTAAGAGACGATTGCCATGTTCCTATGGCGTATAACGATATACGACAGTATGCCCTCCATACCGTGCTGAACACTCCATTCAATTTCCCTCAGGTGAGCTTTTCTATTTTCTTCATTAAAAGGTTGCTATAAAGTTGTTGTACTTTATTGCTGGTCATTGAGTTCTACCAATAAGATCTGAATACTAATCCTGTAACATTTCAATTTCTGTTAGCTTGACATTCCTGCAATCAGGGAGTGGTTGTGAGCAGTTTGAGACGTGTGTACTAGTTTCTGAACATCTCAAGTTTGTTGTTTCAATCTTGAAGTCCCTTCCTTGCCAATGGATATAACTGACCAAACTGAGGCAACACAGCACAGATGAAAAATGCAATAAATCATCAGCATAGTCATAAGGCATCAATCAATCATGCCTTGTCATTGTTTTCATAATCACTTCAGTAAAATTCCCACATGGCAATACTCACATTTCTATTCTTGATAACCTACATTCAAACAATTTAATTGAAATTGTCATATTGGGGGGGGGTCAGCAAATTGAAATGTTTTCTTTCTTTTGAAAGGCAAGGCAGTGGCCAAAAGAATTCAAAGTGGCTTTACACTTTTTCTAAGCTTTCCACCAAGACAGCGCCTGTGCCTGTATACACAGGAGCAGATTGATGCAATCCACTCTCACCTGACTTGAGACAGCACACCCACAGTGACCAGATCAAATTCATCATGGATGTACTTTTTCCAGAGGTAGGTCTCATGTGTTAGCTGTGCTCTGCATGATGTCAGATTCACATTGTTTTAAATGTCAAATAGTTTATCCATAATGTGAGACCATTGCTCTAAAAAGAATGGTTTTTGTGGTAATTATAGAAGAGACACTTTTCATTTTGTTTTCACATGTGAAATGATACTTGGCTACTTGGGGTGTGTGATCAATCTCAATTCTTTCTCTGGTAGTCCATTATCTGTGCCCTGGCTTTTGTGGAAAATCTGTCCATCCTAAAGTCTGAGGATAAATTTCTGCGAGGACCTGTCATTTACATAAAGTACTGTAAGGATACTATAAAGGAAAACATGGTCAAACATGACAATCTGCCATTATTCACAAATAACCATTTCTTTCTACAACTATCCAACTTTTTTTTTATTATCAGTGAGTGGGAGCATTTTGACAGGAGGACTGAACTACAATTAAAAGAGAGTCATCAACGGGAGTCATCCTAGCTCATGTTTTTAATAAATAGTGTTAATAAATAATATTGTTGTACACAAAGTTGTCTCTTTCTTCTCAGATGGCTAAACGGCCCTTGGAATTTTAGAAAAGGGTGAATTGTGTTTGTCTTTATAAAATGCTTTGTAGGACACTGTTCTGTAGCTGTAATGAAATAAATATTTCATTGATGGTCCATATGATTACACTCTATGTCTGGTAGGTTAAATATGGTTAATATCTGAATGTAACTTTATATATAAATTTACAACAACACACTCCGTCTCTTGTATATGAAAACCTACAGTGCATATAATTAGGCTACAGTAGATCATGCATCATTACATTGTCCATTTGATCCAAATATGTGTATTATTAATTTTTTAATTCACTAATTAAATGTAATTTTAATGTTTTTTTTTTTCAAAAACACATTCAGTTGTCACCTGTAGGCTATGTATGTAGACAAACAGTGAATATTTACAGAAATTTTAATTCGTAGTGCAGATCATCTGATATCTTAACGTAATGTTTATATTTAAATTCACACACACACACACACACACATAAACCTCTCAATTAGTCAATGTCTATCGATGGGGCGGTTATTAATGAAGTTTCGAGCGTCGGTTTAATCATTTCGCCATTACGCCACAATAGGGGCGTAAAACTGCCTGCTCCAGGTCTGACTCTGCAGCCTTCCTGTATAGGCTAGAGGGGCCTATCTCAGTCTTCAAGGTGTTTTCTATTCCTCCACTGATTTTAAGGTTTAATCAAGTGTCTTGTCAGCTCGGATACATAAATTGTCATTTTGTTGTGTATTTTGCTTTTGTATCCTGCCAGTGGATTGATTGGTTAAAATTTGAGCTGATAATGGAAAGTTTGTAGGTTCAACCCACAAAAACAGTGATGAACTCAGCTCAGGATGTTTAAACTCAAAGGAGATTTGAGGGTACTTTCCCTGTAATAGGTTTACTGACAATTCAGACCTGAACTATTGCTTTCTTGGCATCTGATCGAAATTGGGAGAATTTGCTAGTACAAATATGTAATTCAGTTTTTGACAAGTAACCAATTTTATTGCTGTGAAAAGGTATTTGTGTATATATTGCAGCATTATATTATGGAGCAGATTTTAAATTCACTCAGAATGATGAAAAACACTCTTTTCCCCGTCTCATTTTTATTTAGCCCACATAGCTGCATGTAATCACATCATAATCTTGCAGTAGCAGCATCTTGCAGTATCTCACAGGAAGAGCTGTCTGAGAAGCTCATTAGCACAAAATCTGAAATGAAGGATGTGTCATCAGCCATCTAAACAAACGGATAATGATCGCTGTTGTTGTGAATGTGACTTACTGTGTCCTGTAATGTTTGAAGTTCCTCTCGTTCTTTATGGCAGGCTGTCAGGTGTCAGCCAGTTATAAAATTGTCTATTAATGGCCAAATACTTTAAAACAGTTGTCTGTAAATACTGTCTACATGTCTACTGTCTTCATTTTTTTTTTGTAATCATTTGTATGGACACGTATATTTGTTTACTTGTGACTCAAACCCATTTTTATTCTATGTAGTCTTTCTGCAAATTGTTTTTATTGCTGATTAGTTGCAAAATGTAAGAAATTATGAGTTTAAAATGGGTATGAGATATCAGTGTGTGTGGTATGGTGCTGATGCACCAAGAAAATAAAATACAAATTCAAGCATACTCTGTAAAAGTATCATGTCACACAGCATTAAAGTTAGTTTCACACATTTATTTTCCAAATGAATGCAGAAAAAAGTTGCAAAGTTGAGCGTACATGACAAATATGCAAAAAACAACTTTTTTTTTTCAGCTAAAGCAAGGGCTTTTCACACTTGAAACAGTTAAAGGGATAGTTCACCCAAAAATGAAAGTACTGTCATCATTTACTCAACCTATATGAGTTTCTTTTGTTCTGCTAAACATAAAAGAAGATATTTGGAACATGGGTAACCAAACACCATACAGGTTTGAACAACTTGAGGGTGACTAAATGATGACAATATTTAAATTTTTGGCGGAACTATCCCTTTAAGCCTGGGCCATTCTAAACCGCAAACGGAATTTACGTGGGGTTAACAATGAGTGTTCACATGGTAAATTCCTAAACTCTGGGTTAATGTTCTTATTTGCATATTTGAGGTGTCAGTGTCATTGATTGGATGAATGCAGCGCAGGACCTATTTACATAGCCTAACGGCTCTAGCATTGGGCGTCAAATATGTTGCTGACTATCCACCTTATTTTTCAACGTGTAAGTAAGCCATTTTCTGTGAATGTGTGAGCCTTCCGGTTCATTAGCCGCTATAGGGAAATAACGAGAAGAAGAACAATGTGCAGTAAACGGTCAAACTGTTTGCACTACAAACAAACCAGTGTGTTCGTTTTTTAATTAAGATAATACATTAAAATAACATGGTAAGACACACCAGTTTGCAATATCTAGCAGCAAAACGAGCTGTTTTGTACATCTAAAAATAGACACCATGACTGGAAGCAAGACACATTAAATTTACAAATGGCCGCGACCGCTCTTATGGGAAAAATAAGGTGGATACATAAAGTTTTTTTGTTTGTTTTTTTCCTGAATGGACTTTTCAGACTATAAAGGTAAGAATGAACCTTTCTTTTCTTCACTCCACTCTATATTTAAGTCATTATTTGACATTTTCCCCTTCAGAAAGCTGAAACTACTGTTTCTACAAGGACTGCCCAAAGCTGTGGCTAAGCGCCTAGTCATAACATTTACTGCATCGTTTCACAATGTAGACGTTTGGCACCTCAGTGAGGTTAACACCGAAAAAGCGGTGCTAGTCCTGCTCCAGAGCAGGGTTTAATTACCCCAGATAAAAACAGCGCTAAACCTGCTTCTAAATTACAAGTGCGAAACGTTCCTTTACCCAGGGTTAAAAACTTGGTTTAGAACGACAGTGACCTGAGGTTAAGGTCAATGTGGAAAAGCCCTTCAGAAACAAAAAAGCCTCATGCAATTTATCAAATATGATTCTTAAACTTTTATAAGGTCATTAACTCCATGCCTATTTCTTGCAAACAGTAATGTTAACACAGATGGTTCTGGCATCATCAGTAGTCGAAAGTTCTTCGACCAGAGTGTCTGTGTACTTGTTCACAAACTTCCTACACAGTGACTTTAGGAAGCCAATCTCATCACAGACCATCCCCAGCTTCTTTTTAATGTCGTCCTGTAGTTAAGTGAGACAAGCAGTTAACGTTAAGCCACTAGTCTCACATTAATTTATTAAAGCATTAAAAAAAGTACCAACCGGAGTTGCTCCATTGGAGATCTGTTTTTTCACCTTCTTCATGGCCCACTTGCAAGCCCAGCACATTCCAGGGATTTGTTCTGTTTGTATCTCACCCTAATAAGATGCATTACAGCATATTGGAGTCATTAGTTTATATATATATCACATATACAGTAGAATCTAGCATTTCAAATGAACATGATGGCTAGCTGTTTGAAAACCATTGTAAAGCTTATCTCCATCTTGCAAATACTCTTGAAGTTTCATTTCAGTACATGGCAGAGATCTGACCTCTAAAGATAGCGATCGATACATCAACCAGTGTGGTTAATCAGCTGACAGTCATATTATTGTGGTTGTTTTGTTTGGCCAATTAAATAGGTAGTTGTAAATTCTACCCTCGTCATGCAAACAGATCATGTAACTTTCTGGTTTTGAAATAACAGTTTGTGAATTTTCATTTTGATGTGTAAAATAATTATTAAGCTAAGTTAGTTAATTTTGTGTAAATGTTATTTGTTATCATGAAAGTTTACGCAGTGAAGGAAAGCTTGGAAATATTAAAAAATGATTGAAAAATAACAGAAATGTATGCAATCTTAAAAAGTCAAAGAAATTTCTATATTAATTATACATTTTGACCACTAGTTAACAATTTACTATACTACTTTACAAGTGTACACAAAAGGGGATCATGATAGAGAACAACTCACAGAGTCTTCTTCAAGTTCATTTCCAGTAGACTCTTCTTTGCGCATTTCCCAGTGAAGAGCACAAACTAAGGAAAAATGCATGATAATGTACTATGCCTACTAAGTGCAGGAATTTAGTTAAACAGTGTATATTTTAGGCATATTCAAGCTGGTTTTAGAGTGACCAGCATTGCACATCATAGACATAAGCCAGTCCAAATCGGTCTATGCAGTCTTTGTGGCACACAAAATATAGGCTAGACTAATATATGGATAAAGATAACCAACAACTGATTTGTGCTAATGTTACCTGAGGATATCAGCAGGGCAATCAGGATGATACTCCGCAGCATCTTGTTTGGCAAAAGAGTCTGAACACAATGAGACTGAAATCTCTCTGCTTGTTTGCTGAAGATCTTTGGTGCCACTTTTTATAAAACATCTCTGTTTTCAACCAGAAACCACAAACATTGTGAAGTGAGACCAGTAGCACCCACAACATGACAAGAAGTACTATCACTAACAATTTTTTTCCATCTTCCTGTATGTGTGATACTTATTTATCATAAACGATAGTACTTTGATTGCACATCTAAATAGGTTACACTAAATTCAGTGTCAACTACACTGCAACTGCTTATTTCAAAGCAGTATCATAATGGTATGGTCGGAAATGGCAGAGGCATAAATTACATGTCATTAAAATTGGAAACTCAGATATCTGTGATAAAGATTTTGCTTGAAATATTGCAGTATTGTGTGATTTGTAAAAGTTTGCCCTAATGCCACCCCCTTGGGACTCATTTATGCCACAGCAAGAAGCAACCTAAAAGAACAAAGCCTTCTCTAGCTGACTATTTGAGATGAATGATAAATCTTTATTACTCACTCTTTTCTATTTGCCATAACTTTCGAGAAGAGAGTGCTTCTTTAATTTGGGTATTGCAGGGTGTGATGGTTTTCACACCCTACCACACGTTGAGCTGTTCGGAAAAGAGTTGAGAACTGCTTCTTCATTTCTAATTCTCAAACTGTCATTTTAATTAAATGATAGATGTGACATTGTGAAATGCAAATTCAGAAATGATCCTTTCGAATCAATGGTGAAAAGAGTAAACCATGTTCTCTGGTACTCAGAGAATGTCTATACATTTCTTCTTATTTGTCAAAAGAGAGACAGTTTGCTCCCCACCCAAAGCTGTGTGAACTAAACTCTTTGAACTAAACTATAGGCTACCAATGAAATCCAGTAACTGGCATTAAAGGGGTCATCGGATGCCCATTTTCCACAAGTTTATATGATTTTTTAGGGTCTTAATGAAAAGTCTATAACATACTTTGGTTAAAATTTCTCAATGGTAGTGTAAAACAATACGCTTTTAACCTGTCAAAAACAGGTCTGTTCACAACAAGCCGTTATGGTGCATTTCCCTTTAAATGCTAATGAGCTACGCTCACCCCGCCCCTCTCTTTTGTGGGGTGAAGAGCCGTTCTCTTTGAGACTGTAAACTTTAGCCACATTCATCGTGAAACTTGCTAACTAGCACACTATTAGTAAAGGCGATTTGCAAAATTAATTTAAAAAACGTATACTCACTTCTCCTGGAGGTGAAGCTGGATCACGAATGATTCGCGCGAACATAAAAAGGGCGCATTCCCTTAAAAAACAAAAGTAATCCACTGTGTCTTCAGCGGCTCAGATGTCGGGAGTAAATGACGACTGCTATGTTCATTATCACATCCAACAACAGAACACCTCAATCACTATGGAGACATTCTTGTCTACACTTGCTCCAGCGTCGAAACAATGGCGGACTGTAACAGCTCACTCAGGGCGGGTCTAAGGTAAAACACCAGTGTCAATCAACAATAGTGGGAGGGGCCTTGGCCTGTGTGACGACACACAGCCAAGAATCTGAAAACGGCTTGATTTTAGAAAGGGGTCATGATTTATCAATATTTAAAAAAAAACACTGGGTGGAATTTTGTCATTATAGGGTGGATGTGTACACACACTGCCAACACACATTTCAGTTCAAACAACTTGTAAAAGTGAATTTTGCATCCGATGACCCCTTTAACTATACATTAAACAACAATGCTAAACAAAGTTTAATTAGGGGCCAAGCTTCCTCTGCTCTTGAGTCTATGGCAGCCCATAGAACCACTTGCGGGAAAGTTGTGAAATTTGGCACACTGATAGAGGACAGTCCCAACATTAACCATAGCAAGTTTAGAGTCTCTAACTCAAACTCTCTAGCGCCACCACTTGTCCAAACTTTCACTCATGTTTATGCTACTAACTTTTGAACCGTAAGGCACAGAAGCAATTTTTTTTCCTCTGAATCCTTGGCTCATGCCGAGTCGAATGAACACCAGAATTCAAAATCGCAAGGTTTAGTTTTTTCGCTATTTTTAATTGTTCAAAAAACTTACTTTTTCGAACTCGTCCTAGATGGTTTGTCTGATTCTCACCAAAATTGGCTCAGATCATCTTTTAGACCATGCTGGCAAAAAGTTATGGAATTCAAGAATGAAGATGAAAAGCATGCAAAAGTGTATCTGAGGCTGTATCTCCGTAACGGTTTGGCGTATTGAGACCAAACTTGGTGTGTGTTATAACAAACATGACCTGAGACTACCTGCAGTGTTTCGGCGCGCGTATTGAGACCAAACTTGGTGTGTGTTATAACAAGCATGACCTGAGACTACCTGCAGTGTTTCGGCGCTATGCCACCTAGTGGTTAGGAGATATGAAATATGCATATTTTTGCTTATAACTTCTGAATGGTTTGGCCAAAAAATCACAAAACTGGTCTCTTTAGATTAGGTGCAGCATGCCGAGTGGAATGATACCCAATTTTCCCATGTCAGCCATTTTTGGCGTCGGCCATTTTGAATTTTGTCGTAAAATGCTATATTTTACGAACGCATTGACGTATAATTACAAAACTTGGTATGCTTCTTCGGCACCATGCCCTGATAGTACTCAAAAAGTTTGGGAGTTAAAATGAAATTTCTAAAAATGCTAACAACTTTTGTTTACACTAGCCTATTGTAATGAAACTGATCCTAGTCCATAGTCCATCTGCCATCAGTGGTTCAACCGTAACGTTATGAAGCAACGAGAATACTTTTTGTACGCGAAGAAAAAAAAAATAACGACTTTATTCAACAATTCGTCTCCTCTGTCTGTCCGCATCACCGTAGCGTCACTTTGGAGAATATGAGCTGAACGCAGGCCGCTTACTCTCTTCTGTGTCAGCCGCGCCACAAGGCCCTACGGTGATGCGGACAGACATAGAGGAGACGAATTGCTGAATAAAGTCATTATTTTTGTTTTCTTCGCGTACAAAAAGTATTCTTGTCGCTTCATAATGTTACGGTTGAACCACTGATGGCAGATGGACTATTCTGATGATGCTTTTCATACTTTTCTGGACCTTGACAGTGTAATTTACTTGGCAGCCTATGGGACAGTCACAAGCCTCCAGGTTTTCATCCAAAATATCTTAAATTGTGTTCCGAAGACGAACGAAGCTTTTACGGGGTTGGAACGACATGGGGGTAAGTGATTAATGACAAAATTTTCATTTTGGGGTGGAGTATCCCTTTAAGCTGTTGTGGTGTTCATTCACATTGTTTCTAGATTATTGTGTAGAGTGATCAGATGCATTTTAAATAATTGCTAAAAGCTTCATTGGCCTAACAATGAACTTTTCACAAAACAAATTTCACTGTTTTTTGATCCTGACACAAAATGACCAGCTAACATTAATTGACTAATCATATCAGCAGCACATGTGAAAGTGTGAATGAGTACTAGTCAGGTAATATCACTATCATACTAATTAGATTGTAAGAGCAGACTGATTGCTATAAAAGGAGGGAAGAAGCGCATCCAAACATTGTGTTCTTGTTAGCAATGGTTACCTCCAAAGAAACACGGGCAGCCATCATCGCTTTGCATCAAAATGGCCTCACATCTTACAAAGAATATTGCACCTGAAAGAACCATTTGCCGGATCATCAAGAACTTCAAGGAGAGAGGTTCGAATGCAGTGAAGAAGACTTCAGGACGTCCCAGAGTGTCCCCCTGCAAGAGCTACTTCTTCCAACGATCCATGAGCAATTTGGCGATGATCTGTGCATTTTTCAGCATGATGAAGCACCATGTCACAAAGCAAGAGAGATAAAGAAGTAGCTCGAAGATCATTACATTGAAATTTTGGATCCGTGGCCAGGCAACTCCCCGCATCTCAATCCCATAGAGAACCTGTGGTCAGTCCTCAAAAGGCGAGTGGACAAGCAGAAGCCCACAAATTGTGATCA